AAATCTGGTTTCCTCGTCTGGAGAGTGGGAATCATAATACTGCGTATATTACGGGAGTTTTGTGAGGATGAACTGTGATAAATTCACATAATGCACCATGTACTGTGCGCCATGCCTGGTTCAGAGTGAGAGCTCAATAATTATTGGTTACCATTACTATTGTTTCTAGAGAAATGAAATGTACCCAGCTTCCTGTTGGCATGGCCTATGACCTGGTTCTTTGGGGCTTCCCAGAAAATAAAAACCACATATAACAACAACATCAATAACAAAAAAAGTGGCAAAGTGCTTAATGACTCCATGCAAACCACTTCATATACATGTGCATTAATTTAATATGAATATGAATTACTGGAGAATCTTGTTAAAATGAAGATTCTGATTCAGCAGGTCTGGGGTAGGGCCCCAGTTGTACATTTTGAACGACGTCTTGGAAAGTTACATCATATACAATTCTCTTATCCTTATCAGTTAAAAAAGTCTAAATACTTTATAGTAACCTAGACTAACCACAATCCTTAGGAAATCCTGTGAAAATTTTAATTTGGTAAATTCTATTTGGAAAGAGAGTATCTTATTACTAAAGCTCCTGCTGAATAGTTTACTGAGTTGTCAAAGGATAAGAAATGATCTTAGATGATCTTGGATTCAGTAGCATATAAAGGATATTTCAGAGAAAAATAGGAAAAGATGAAGAAAGCACACAGTGAACTGAGAAACACGGAATAACAAAAAATGAGATGTCAGAGTCATACTTTCCTGCAATTAATGACATCACAGAAAATTTTAAAAATCAGTTTCCTTAACTCAATGATTTCTAGCCGTTCTGGCTTTGTGATTTCACATTTTCCCATCTTCCTTAATATGTTTCTTAGCACAAACTTGAAATTTAAAAAATGATGTTTGTTTTGAAAACTCTGAGATAACCGCAAAGCAAGCTCAGCAAACACCATTTTAACTGGTATTGACTTTAAAAATTGTTCAAATTTATTTAGTGAAAGAAACTAACATTTTGATGGCAAGAAATCTTTCTGGTATGTGTATACACAAATGCAATGTTTCCAAAAATAGTATATCACAGTAGAATTCAACAGGACACTAACAGATACATGGTGAAAATTGTGGCCTGTGTTCAAATTAACTTTGAATTGGTTCTCCTTACACTTAACAGGTCATTTAGACTCTAGGGCTTCTCAAAGCCTTTAAAAAGCCTTTTAAAGATTCTGATTTTCTAAAAAGGAGATTTTCATTTAAACATTTCCAGTGATCATACTCCCTACTCACTGCCTACCCAAAACACTTTAAAAGCTGAGATCCAAAGATTCTTGAAGCATAACACAATAATTAAATATTTTCTATAAGCCAAGGAAATTTAAGCGTTACACAGAGTTCTTCTAAGTAAATAAAAAATTTACACACATATATATTTAAAACATATACGTAAATATATTAAATCAAGTACTGTTAATGCTATAAAAAGCTATAATGAAACAAAAAAGAATTCTAAGAATCAGGTCAACAAAGCTCATTGCCAGCTATAGATTAATTCTAAATGGTTAAGACCATTATAGCACACCACTAACAATTTTCCTCTATAAGAATTTTTCAAGAGCATGATATATAAAGACTAATTAAAGTGATTCAAATAAATTCTCAAATTTACATGGAAAAACTTACACTATTGAAAATTTAATCTACAGGCAAGCAGAGAAATTCTGAGTATTAAGCACATATCAATCATCTAAAAACTAGCAAACTGTCACCATATATTTCTGATCTTTACCCATAAATCTAGTCCTGGAGTAAATCATCATTCAAGACAACTTTAAAATAAATAACAAGGATTTGAAAAACTTGGTTGCAAATAACAACACATCTACACAGCTGGGAACTGATACTTTGAAATCTTCCAACAGTATCTTTAGAAAGCTTAACTTCAGTTATGTAATAAACTTTGTGCTGAGTTGAAACTGATGTACAGGTGCATCCTGACCCAAATTTCTTAGTAAATAAGTTTCAAAACTGTCAGTTATAGCACAGCCAAAGAGACATCTTCCTATCAATTCTTCTTCTTCTTCATGGTTATAGAGAATTTTCCACATGGAAAGAATCAAAAAATGATTTTTCAGTACAAAGCTAATTATACCAACCAAAAATGCCAAATGACTTCTTGCTTAAGTCTATTTCATTTCATAAACTTCCACAATACAAGAGAAAATTTAAAGCCAAAAATATGTTTAAAAATTTCAGCCAATAAAAATCAAATTTTACTTTAAAAACTATTTACGATGTACATTAATTTTAAAAGTAGGGTATATTTCTCCTCTCACCACTCTATAATAATATTCATAGTAACAGTAGCTTCTGTTTTTTGCAAGAAAATCCCCTTATGTTTATAAAGTTCACCTCCCGGCCCTTTTAACTAGGCACAATCTCCCTTCTCTGTACTGCCTTGTTATGAAAGCTCTGGGGTAGGGGCCTGAGGGTTAGTAACAATGACAGCAGAGCAAAGGAAAAGGATAGCATAACAGCAGTAAGGAAGAAAATGAAAGCAAAATAGAAGCAGGCCTCCCTCCTTCTGATAAACATCAAGGCAGTTGAAAGAACTAGATAACTCGACAATCATACTTCTCAGAAGCACATAACCTGCATAGTAGAAACGATTCAGAATAATTAGAGAATATGCTTTGCAATTATTTCAAATAAGTATGCATTATAAAAGATTCCTTTAAGTCAATTTAATTTCACAGAGTTTAATTTTTTTCATCTATACTATCAAATTTGACTTACTACTCCCCTTTGCTTTAGATGTGGCAGTGAAATATAAGAAAATTTCTGGAAAAGGTAAGGAATCAGAAAGTAACAGCATGTGCTCTCTCTGCATACTCAACGAGAGGATTTACTCTCAAGAGTCTTATTTCCTATTTTTTGGGATAGTTTGGTTCCTGTGTTTCCTCTAGATATTTCTACCTATTAACCACTTCATTGCTCACTAATGAATAAGAGAATGTGGACAATGTGACTCTCCTATTCACTTACTATAGCCAATAAACCTGTAGAGATTTCAATCAAAGCTGAGATTCTAATTCAAAAGTCTTCTAATTTACCTCTCAACTCTGGTGATTCTAGCCAAACTCTATTATTTGAAACCTTATTATACACTGTAAATTAAGCGGTAGGATGAAACTTCAAAATCACTTAGTTCAACTCTTATTACTTTATAGTTGGGAAATCATTCAGAGAAACAGTTAGTGGAGAGATGGTGTCGACTCAGGTTTTGTAACTCCAGACCAATACTTGTTCCACTAAATCAAATACATATCTCACTGCTTCATTTTCTACCCAAGATTTCTTCTGAAACCCTCCTAACTGCCAAAACTTTCCTGTTTCTTGTCCATCACATTACTCAATCACTGTAATTAATGCTTCAGTTATGGAGTGTCCTATATTACATAAAACACAATGCTAATTATAATAAGCAAATATTAAGTGTTCATTATATCAAGAAATATTTTAAGCCCTTTATATATAGCATCTCATTTAATCCTCAACTTCAAATAAGATAAATAATACCGTAATTCCCATTTTATAAGGGCAAAAATCAAAACCTCAGAGGTTAAATAATTTGTGAATTCACAGCTAATAAGAAGCAGGACCAGGATAAGTAATCAGGCAGTCTGACTCCAATGTCCATATTCCTGATATCTACATACAATAACTGTACCTAACTACATGGACTGTATTATTAATATGCAGATAACTCAAAATTTGGGGGCTACAGAAGAATTTAAAGAGAGTTTATATTTGAAGAGGCTTCTTTCACATTTTCACATTAAAATAGCTTAATGTGGCTTATTTCCATAAACGATATCTTCTTTACAGAGACATGGCCCAAGTAAGAACTCTTAAATTAAAACTCAAATTAAAAAAACAAATAGAGGAAAAAAAGAGTTACAATACTTTAACAAATGCCCAGATCAGCACTGTCAAAAGGACTTTTTGTAGTGATAGTACTGTTTTCTATCTGTGCTGTCCACGACGGTAGCCGCTAGCCACACGGGACTATTCAGCACTTGAAATGTGTCTAGTGTGACTGAGTAATTAAATTTTTAGTATTTTGTAATTTTAATTAATTTAGATTTAAATAGCCACATGTGACTAGTGGCTACTGTACTGGACAGCACAGGTGCAGAAAAAGATGAGGGAAGAAATTCTTATTGCCTTTATTTAGAGAGTGCACTATCAGTCAAATCAATTTAAATGTCTTTTTTTACTGGCTCTAGCTCCAATTATTATTTTTTTTTAAAGATTTTATTTTTTCCTTTTTCTCCCCAAAGCCCCCAGGTACACAGTTGTATACTCTTCGTTGTGGGTCCTTCTAGTTATGGCATGTGGGACGCTGCCTCAGCGTGGTTTGATGAGCAGTGCCATGTCCGCGCCCAGGATTCGAACCAACGAAACACTGGGCCGCCTGCAGCGGAGCGCGTGAACTTAACCACTCGGCCACGAGGCCAGCCCCAACTAGCTCCAATTATTAACCCAAACAATATAAACCTCCAAGGAGACTTAAGTAACTCAAACTTTCTATTATTTAAATTCTTCTTTATCTCAAAGGAAAAAAATAATTAAAATCCTCTATTATCAACAAAGCTTCATATATTAGAAACTTTTTACTGTTTGGGTAGCTAAGAGGAAGAACTTGAACCTGAAAACTCCCTACCTATTAAGAAAACTAAAAGAGTCACAAAAGTTTTCAATTCTCTTCGCAATAAATACTTGATAATAAGTGCTTACCTTGATTCTCCACTACTGTTTCTAACACTTTCTTCATCACTGTGTCCATTCATTGTAAATATCAAGAAGTTTTAAAATAAAATATAAATCTTCCCAGTTTAAAAGATGAATATAAATACTGACTCCTCCTTGAATATCAAAAATTCACAGATGAATTTCCTTCAACATTCACAGGTTTCCTGGGACCCTTTTTGATTCACCTAAAGAAAACACAGTAAGAAAATAAGAAAATTTCCTGTAGAGAAAAAGACAAGTCTGTTTAGAACTTATACAAATCTACCTAGGCCATTTAGAAACAGCTAGGCTTCTATTAACTATATTCCTGACTACTTATTAGAATTTAGCACACCACTGCTTATTTTTGATAGAAGAAATTAAAATATGTGTGGAGTGCTAAAACTTTTAGACTAACTGCAACTATGTAGCGATACATATATACACACTTTGGATAAGTAGATAACTAAAGCACACTGGTAGTATATAACATATGCATACATTCCAAGAATAGAAAATGGAGTCTTATTAGATACTTGGTCAAACGAAGTAAGGGGGAAAAAGGCTACCTTTAATCAAGCACTAATTCCTATCACCAAGAACTTCATATACTTGAATGAGGGAAAGTTTTGAAAATGATCACATGAGAACAGAAGAATAAAAGGCTATCATATAATCCTGGCAAAAACTCTATAGGTCAAAATAGATGTGTACTTTCACAGGTAAGCCAACAGGGGAATGATAAAACTTAAATAACATTTATCCAGTTTGGACTTGTGGAGATTCCATTTAAAAAAAAAAAAAGGTAATGAACATCCACTATGATTTCTTAAGCAAACGGTTTGGGGCAGAAATCATGGACCAAGACACAGCATTTCCACCTTTCAAAGATTTCAGCACAACACTGGAGAGTCACCTACAAGCCATCCACGAATAAACAAAGGAGATCTCTGGCAGGGGAGGGAGAGGAAGAAGCGGGGGAAGGAGACGTCAGATCCTTCCCCAGCCAGAAAGTACCGAGATAGCCGACTGAGAGCAGAGCTGTCTCCGACCTCAGCAAAGAGAACTCACTCCTACGACTATTTCCATTCCACAAAAAAGAAGGGGGAAACAGGCTGTTGCCAACTTAATCACAGCAAACTCTGCATCTAGATCGGGATTTTAATTCTCCAGAAACTAAGAGCCGGTAGACTCTGCAAGAACTGGTTATCCAAAAAGTAACTATTCCACGCAACATTTATCCCTCTTGTTAAATATTAATTCCAACTAGTCAAAGAGCTTTACTAGTAAACAATTAAGTCTTGAAAAATCTAGGTACTCTAACAAACCGCCTCTTTCCCGAAACTCTGTCAGCGTTGAGAAAGTTCACTCCTCGTTTCGTTCTTTCCTTTTCACCTCCCTTTCGCCCCTCAAAATGGCTTTCTCTGCACACTGTAACTTCCTTTTTCCCCTCATCTTCCCTCTCCGAGTCAGTCCTCTTTCTGAGACCCTTCTCACAAGCGTCAGTTCGGAAGCCGCGAGCACACGCAGCTCCTCGGGCCTTTCACGCGTCCTAACAATGACTCTTCCCCAAGTCGCCGACCCTGTCCCCCCTCCTCCCGGCCCGGCTTTCAGCAGCAGCCCGGCTCCTGCTAAGTTTCCGAGGCGGTCCTCGAAAGGAGGCTGGAAACCTTCCTCCTTCCTCAGCCGTCCATCGCAGCTTCGCTCCAATCAGTCTCCCATCCGGACGCACGCTCCCACCCCCGGCCCTCCCAGGGCCTCCATCCCCGTCCCGCAGTCTCTCTTCCCGCCTCAAACTTCCCGCAGACCCGCTCCGCGCCCTCCCGGGCTCGCCCGGGCCGCCGCCGCCCCCTCCCCCTCCCCGCCGCTCCCCACGTGCTGGGAGGCCGGGTCGCGGCGGGACCGACGCGCCGGCCAAGGGCTCGCCGCTCGGGCTCCGCAGCTCTGCCCTCGCGGCCCAGCGGTGCCCACGCCGAGGAGGCCTGGGCTCCACCGCCCAGCTGCCCGCCCGCCCAGCGCTGGGATGCGCTCCGCGGCGCCGGCCTGCGCTCGCCACTCACACGCCCCCCGCGCGCCCAACCCGGCCGCCACCGCCGCCGCCGGCCCTCGCAGAGCCGCCCCGGCCTTCGCCCGGCGCCCGGCCGCTGGGCCGCCGCCCGGGCACCGCGCCGCCCCCGCCCTCTGCCCGGCCGGCTCCCGTCCTGCCCGCCACATCCTGACCCGCCCGCCGCCCCTTTTCTTACCGGCGGACGTGCAGGCTTCGCGGGGCGGAGGGAGCCACTCCGATCGGCGGCCTCCCCCGCGCCCGGGCCCGCGGTCTCCGCCGCCGAGTGAGTCCTCGGGCTCCGGGCGTCTCGGGGTAAGCAGGAGTCCGGGAGGGGGAGGGGGACGGGGAAGGACGCGGCGGGGAAGGGGAAGCCCCGGCCCGCGGCACCAACGCGCGATCCCCTGCGGAGCGGATCCAACAATCAATTCATTATTGAAGCACCAACGGCGAGGGCAGCCAGAGCCAGAAGTAAAGAGCCGTCGTCGTCGCCGCAGGCACGCGCGCGCTCCCGCTCCCGCCGCTTATCGGCTCCCGGCAGCCGCCATGACGCCGAGAGAGCGAGCGCAACCGTCTCCGTCGTAGCCGCCGCCGCCGCCGCCGCCACCGAGGTCGCCGTCGCCTCCGCCTCCCGCGCGACGTAAGCTCCCCAGCTCACTCCCCTTCCCCACTGGGCGCGAGGCGGGCTGACGGGCGGGCGGGCGCGCGCACGCCGAACCCCCTCCTGCTGGCGCGCGGGCGGCGGGAGGGGCTACGTTGTGGAGTCGTGGGGCGTAGGAAGAAAGCGATTGGAGCTGAGGCGGGGCGGAGAGCGAGTGCGCGCATGCGCACCGATGGGAGCGCGCACGCCGGCGGCGCGGAGGCCGCTGGACTCTGGCTATAGCTGTGGGCTGCTGATCCTTGCTCGGGCGCCCTCTCTTAGCAGCCGGGGTTGAATTCCGGGAAGTGGGAGCTGCAGGCTCGCTCCGTGCGGGTATGGACGCTGCTGTCACTCGGGACGGTTGCGCAAGGACTTCGCGGTGGAGAGACTGAGAGGGAACCGGGGAAGCAGGGGCATGGGGAGATGCTGAAGACTGTGATGGGGCTCGAGGAACCGCAGAAGGGTCGCGCTGGATTAGCCCAGGGAGCCGGGTCGTGCACGGTGTCCTGTCGCCCAGGCCTCGGCCCGCATCTTTTCTCCGGTCCCCGGCCCCGTCTGAGTGCCTGTCCGGAGGGACGGAGAGGGACCCGCTGCGTCACACCAGGCAGCCTGAGACCCCAACTGTTGGGCAACTGTGGTCACCTCCGACCGCCTCCTACTCTTAGGCGACCTGCGACAGAGGCTCCCTTGGGGCCTCAGGCCTCCTAAGGGCGGGGCAACTGAGGAGACGGAGAGAAAATAGAGACGAAGTTGTTGACATCCTGTGACACTTCTTGATTCATCTGTGGGTTCAGAAAAAACTTTTACAACCTTTCTAGGTCCCTCCCTGGAGGACGGGTGGAGGGTGCGGTGCCGAATCGCAACAAAAAAGCAACTCGAGGGACGTTGGTGACTGTCCATGTTTAACGTGCTGCAATTTAGTTGACGGTTTGTTTCGTAACTGTAACTGCGGGCCGCAGTTACAAGCCTAGAGATGTGTGGATGGAAACTCTGTCTTTTCAAGCGTGGTGGTGTCCCTCTTCACTCTTTTTGAAAGCGTTTTTTTATTTTTGGATCAACATTGTTTTGCACTTCATTATTTTTTCCGGTCCACAGATCAGTCTTGAATCATTCTAGGTTAACGATAGTTTTTGAAACTTTCGAATCCCATTCTTCAGTTATTTGATTTGGTGTAAAGGCCCAACTTCCGAGTTCAATGAGTTTGAAAGGGGTAGCTGCATTCCCAAAATAATTCTTTTCGCATGTGGAAATATTCGTTTTAATCTACCAGCTGTTGAAACAGTTTGATTCAAAAAGATCTCAAAACATAACTCCAAATATGAGTTCATTTTATGGAAGGGTATATTCACCTTTGGGGAGTAGGGGAAGGCAAGCAGGTACACATGGGCTACTGAAAAAGAATGTGTCAGTGATCGACGGAAGAGGGAAACAAAATGGAAAACTACCATAGTTTGCAAAGTGATCTGTGCTCCGCCTCTTTTTTCTTTCCTTTTTTCCTAGTTATTAAATAACTGTAGTGCTGGGTTGTGAGGAATAACAAGACCATAGAAATCTCCATCTCTGAAGCGCCTAAAAGTAGGAACCAAGTGCTAATTTTTAATATGTTTTAAAAATATGATAAAAGTGCCTTAATGATAGGAATTTCCTGTGCCTCTAATTTCTTTTTTGCATTGCTAGAGTGGTAAGTAAAAGATAAAAGCCCCAGAAAAACAGTAACTGTGGCAGATAAAGAATTTTGTGGTCAGAAGTGTGATTGAGATAATAAGAGCCCTTAATTGTAACTATACTACCTTTTATTGTTGTCTTACAAAAAAGAACTACTGTATGTTCTTAATCTATTTTATATGTTTTCTGAAAGCACACGTCACACGTTTTTTAACTACTGACTTGCCATTTGGATGAGATATGCTGCATATAAATCCTAGACACTTTTTTGCAGAAAAAAAAATCTTGCCAAATTTGTAATAAAATATTGAACCTTGGAGATTTATATTTCTGGTAAAATCGTAGTATACTTTATAACTCCATAGGATTTTAGAATGACTGTTGAGAATATGGAGAAATACAAGGTAAGTGGAAAATTGGAACAATCTTGCCAGTTCAGTTTTTAAAGTCAGTTGATAAATAAGGCAAAAGTATTTGTTTGACCATTTGTTATCTGCGTAGTTAAATTCTCACTTTCACTTTGTTTGAATAAACTGTCTTTATCTCTACCTATGAGTATTAAAAACAATAGACAAACAGTTGATAATCTCAACACATGACTAGCAAAAATCCCTGAAAAATAACAGCAACCAGGAAGTTTTTATTCTTAGCTGATTTCCCATTTGGGACATTTCATATTCTTTGGAAACTATATTGCTTTTATGAAATCAAGGACAGCGCTTTGTGAGTCCTTAATTCTAACACATCCTACTAGGTGGGGAGAGATTGAGAACCACTTATCCAGAATTGTGAGATGTGTAACATAAAGACAATGATAACTCTTACTTTTCTGTTAATGTTTTGGATGCCCAGATGGGATTTGAATTCCATAATTAAGTTCTTGTTAATTAGAGGATTTGCCTACTAGAAGCTGCTGAAACAATCAGGACCGTATTAAACTACCCTAGAATCTCAACCTATGACATCATCCCTCAGGATGTTGCCAAACAGAGGAACAGCTTTCCAAATATACTTAAATTTACGAAGTCCTCTATAAATAGCACCCATGAAATTCTAAGTCACCTTACACTGAAAATGTATTACACATTTTCTGTTTTCTTAATCATGAAAATTATAGGAGAGGAGCTGTCGTTCCCAGTGTTGGGCAGGGAGCAGGAGTCAGTCACCTAGGAAATTTTTTCCTAATTACACATGCCTGACATTCTCATTCCTCCCCTCTCCTGATATGCAGAATTTATAGGTTCTAGGTAGTGTTTGAAAAAATATCCTAGATTCTTCTGATATCCACCAACAGCTCATCCACCTCTCTTATGGCCACTGTATTGGGATTTTTACTGATAAATTCTTGAATCATAATAAATTAAGTTTTAAATGGAAAGTTCTTAGAGATGATACTAAGAGGCAGCTATGTATAAAAGCTAATAGACATTCAAGTCTGGACACAAAGATTCTACTTCCTCTACTTACAAAATTAAGTGTGCACACAGAGTAAGAAAAAAGTTAAGTAGCTAATCTCAAAATATCAAGTTGGTGTCTTGATGCTATGTCACTCTTCCTTCCCCTCAAATCCTTTATTTACTGCCCATTTTACCTCGTATCTGTTGTCATCAGCCTTTCTTCTTAATCCCCACTACTTTGTTTATTTGGACCCTATTTTCTTATCATTTCCTCCAGCTCACCCTGTAGGCTCCTTTCAGACTTGAAATCTAATGAAAGCACTCTCCTGCTTTAAATACATATATTTAAATATACCACATATATTTGCATACATACATAATATTTTAATTACTTAGTCTGTTCACTCTGACCCCAGCATCGCCTCCCATCGTTCCCAGCAGACACTTGACACTAGCTACGTATTTCTTCAGGCCGTTGGAAAGGTATCTTTCTCATTGTTAATGGATACAGTCTGTCTATCCTGTGAATCAGTCTCTTGTAGGTTTGTTTAAGTAAGTCATCAAGAACTTTTGAGTGCCCTGACCCAATTGGACTGACACCCTGTGGGACATGACCGGCAGCCCTCTCACTTCCCTTTTCAGACATCAAATTGTGTATTCTGTAAGTGCAGCTTGTCTTTGTATTGTAATAAACCATTTTCTTCCATACTTCATTATGAGCTCTTGGAACACAGACTCTCTGTGTTCCCTATTTATTATGTTGACATTCATTCAATAAATTGCATACCAGACACTCTGCTGGGGTGGAGGAGGGGAATTAGAGTAGAGCAAAAACGGATACTTTCAAGAGTTAAAGTCTAGTGCAGAAAACAATCACTGCAAAGTCACAACTGAGAAAGATGGTATGAAGAAGCATACAGTGCTGCGAGAATTCATAACGGAGGAGCCTAGTCAGAAAAGTCCTTTAGGAAAGTGACATGATCAGAGAACTGAAGAATTAAACAGACAAAAGGGATGTGAAGAGCTCCTTTCCAGGTAAAAGAAAACATGGGCAAAAACTCTGGGGCCAGAAAGATGTCAGTTTACATCCCAGTTTGGCAAGGATAGACTTTTTTTACTTTCTGAAGTGGTTTGGATGATCGATTACATTGCCATCTTATCTATAAGGGACTACAAGAAACTCAGTACTGCTGGAGCAGACAGAACTCAGGAAGACGAAGCTGCATAGAGGCTAGGCCATTCAGGGCCCAAAGGCCAGGAAAAGAAGTAAGGTTCTTCTCTTGGAACAATGGGAAACCTTTGAAAGATTTTAAATCAGGTGGTAATGATGGGATTTGCAGATTGAAAATTTTGCTCCAGCTGTAAATTGCAAAAAAGGATTAGAGGCAGGTCAAAATAGATACAATATTCTTAAATGAATTAGGCAGGTACAGCGGGTAAAAGATTAGAAGTAACTTGATGAACCAGGGTAGTGGTACTGAGAAGGAGAGTAGATTTGGAAGGAAAAGCCCACAGGATTTGTTGATGCAATTGGATTCAGGGTTAGGAAAAGGAGGGAAGCTGTACATACAATGGAATGGAATGGAACTGAATGATGACATCTGCTTGAATGATAATATGGTTGGAGATGAGTAGGTATAAATATCATTAGGACTTAATGAGTTTCTGATGCCTTTGAGTCATCCAGGAGACTTGGATAGAAGTCTAGAGCTGAGAAGTGAGATCTAGACTGAAAACAACTGTTAAATACGTAGGGAGAAACTAAAGTCTTGAGCACACATGTAATAGACTTGGAAGACAACCTAGGAATGTGCAATGAAGAAGTTCAATTTTTGGCTAGATAGAGCTAGCTGGATAAGGAGTTGCAGATGTCAGAAAGGTGGTGTGCAATGGAGGACAAAGGCTTAAGTGCTTCAAGGAAGGAGTGGTGAGTAGTGTCCAATGCTTTCACATGGTTTGACTTTGACTTGGGAGGGAATATGAATTTTTTGTTTGTTTTTTGGAGGGTTGTGGGTTTTTATTTTATTTGTTTGTTTAGGTGAAAGATTTAAGATGTTTCAGAGACAATGGGAAATGTCCTTTTGAGAGAGATTGAATATATTAGAGTTAGCTGTAAGAATTAGCTGGAAGGATTAACACATATTAATCATTTTCTTTTTCAGTCAGGAACCAAACACTAGATATCACTGTTTGTAATTATGGGCTATAGGTGGTCACTTAATTGATGTGATTTGAGGTTTCTGTGAGCCTTTTACTCCCCAAATACATGCCTCATGCTCTACTAATGTTTGAAAATTCAATGGTAGAAATCTATTTTAAAGCGTATATTCTTGGGGAGAATAATACGTTAAGAAGGTAGTTCTCAGCTGTGCCAAAATTTAGAATTACCTGAGGAGCTTTAAAATAAAATTGCTCAAGCCTTGCCTCAAGAGATTCCATTCCATTGTTCTGAGGTGGGGCCTTGGCATATGCATTCTTTAAAAGCTTTCCTTTTTAAAAGATGATTCTAATATGCCATTAGTATTGAAAAACTAGGGACATCATTGTATTAACAACTGCTTGACTCATAACAGTTTAAATGAAGTGTGGAAGGCTGGAATATTTAGAAAATAGTGGTTATTAATGGGGCAGTGGCAGGCAGAGATTTTGCACCTCGGGATATTTGGGAAAATCTGGAAACATTTTTGGTTTTCACAATGAATTGGGGGTGGGGGGTGCTACTGGCATATATTGGGTGGAGGCCAAGGGTGCTGCCAAAGATCCTATAGTGCACTGGACAGCCCCCCACAACAAAGAATTATCTGGCCCAAAATGACAATACTGCCATTGTTGAGAAGCCCTGTTAATAAAGGCAGGTGAGCTAGGTAGTATATTTTTAGTGAAATCTTAATGGATGGGAATTGTGGTTTGGTAAGGGTGCTAATGAATGAGGAGGGTCTATTCTACTTAACAACTTAGCCTAAACTAAGCCTTACTTATAACCAACAACAAAAGAGCTTCAAATAAAATACGTTTGCAGAACTAAGAAATGACTAGCATAATAGTCTGATTATATTATATTCCTGTTTAAAAAAAAGACTATACACCTTATACCCATTAAAATGGCTAAAATAACCAAAACAAGAAATAGCAAATGTTGGAGAGGTTGTGGCTAAAAAGGAACCCTCATACACTGCTGGTGGGAATGCAAACTGGTGCAGCCACTGTGGAAAACAGTATGGAGATTCCTCAAAAAATTAAAAATAGAAATACCGTATGACCTAGCCATCCCACTACTGGGTATCTATCCAAACAACTTGAAATCACCAATTCCAAAAGGCCCATGCACCCCTACGTTCATTGCAGCAGCATTCACAATAGCCAAGATGTGGAAGCAACCCTAGTGCCCATCAACTGACAATTGGATAAAGAAGATAGGGTATATATACAATGGAATACTACTCAGCCATAAAAAAGGATAAAATTGTCCCATTCACAACAAAATGGATGGACCTTGAGGGTATGGTGTTAAGTGAAATAAGCCAGATAGAGAAAGACAATCTCTCTATGGCTCCATTCATATGAGGAAATTAAACACGTGGACAAAGAGAACAGATTAGTGGTTACCAAGGGAAAGGAGGGGGTGGGGCTGGGCACAAAGGGTGAAGTGGTGCACCTACAATATGACTGACAAATAATAATGTACAACTGAAATTTCACAAGGTTGTCAACTATCATAATCTCAAGAAAAAGTAAAAAAAAAGAAGAAAGGCCATGTTCTTCATCTTTCTAAGAAAAAAAGAAGACTATAGTGCAACTGAAAGTATCATTGCTGGTGGGGGTGTAAATTGGTTACAGCCACTCTGGAAAATTGACAGGCAGTGTACATTCTAGTTAAACTTATTCTGTAATTCGGCAGTTTCAGTCCTGAGTGTATACTCAAAAGAAATGAATACAAGTGTCTCCCAAAAAGTGTTGTATAAGAATCTTCATAGCAGTTCAATTCATTTTGGCCTCAAACTGGAACAAAGTGAATTATATTCATGCATGGAATACACAGCCATAAAAGGGAATAAACTGCTACACATAGTAACATGGATTGTGTCGAGTGAAATAGACAAAAGAATTCATATTATATAATTCCATTTATATGAAATTCAAAGACAAAATTGATTTATGATGATAGAAGTCAGGATGATCGTTACCTTTCTGGGCATGGCTATTGACTTGGAAGGGGCATAAGGAAGACTTATAAAATGATGGGAATATTCCATATCTTGATCTGAGTGGTGGTGATATGAGTGTATACATATGAAAAAGTTCATCAAACTGAACATTTAAATTTTGTGAACTTTACTGTGCATGTGCTATACCCCAATTTTTAAAAATCAAAAATTAGGGGAAAAACAGAAACCCAATTTTGAACGAGTTGAAGTCTTTTTTTTTTAAGATTGGCACCTGAGCTAACAACAGTTGCCAATCTTCTTTTTTTATTTTCTGCTTTTTCTCCCCAAACTCCCCCAGTACATAGTTGTAGCTTTTAGTTGCGGGTCCTTCTATGTGCTCTGTGGGACACCGCCTCAGCATGGACTAATGAGCGGTACCACGTCCACGCCCAGGATCCAAACTGGTGAAACCCTGGACCACCGAAGCAGAGCACGCGAACTTAACCACTCAGCCACGGGGCCAACCCCTACTGGCAGCATGTGGAGACTCAGAAGCGTGTTGTAGAACAAGAATAATCTCAGATTACTTACCATGTCACTCAGTGTTCTAAGTGTTCTAACTCTGTGAGGTTGGTACTATTATCCCTACTTTATTGGTAAGGAAACTGAGAAGCTTGACTAAATTAAGTAAGTGCTAAGGCTAAAATAAAACCTAGGCAGTTTGAATCCAGAGTCTATGCTTTCATGAAGCAATGCTGACATATCAGACACAGATATAATGACCGCCTTGGTTCCTGAGAGCTTTCCAGTTCCTGATCTCAGGCCTTTGAGAAGGTCGAGGCTGCTCCGTATCTTTGAATTATTTATCATAATACAATTTCATGTCTTTGCTTAAACAAGTTTAAGTGAATTTCAGCCAATTGCAACTGGAAGAGTCCTGCTCCAGTTTGACTGTGAATGGGGTTGGAAATAACAAACCCCAGAGAAAGTGAAACTGGCTGAATCAAGGTAGAGTAGCAGGCAATAAAGACTTTCCTGCCCTAAAATGGGAACTTGTTTTTTTTGTGTGTGTTGTGAAATAGTAAATCATTTACACAGCTTTCTCCAACACTGTCTTAGAACTCAGACTATATAGCACTGAGGTAGGGCATTAGAGAACTTAGTAGCCAAATATAAAAAATGTGAAGTGCATCAGTTACTACATGTGGAGTTTTGAAAAGTACATTAGGAAAGAGGAATTCTAAACAAAGTTCTCAAATGAAAGTAGATTGGAGCGAATATGACAATTTGTGCCAAATTTAGCAAATTTGACAATTATTGGCAGCCAGTTTGCCTTCAGTCTGAGAATATATAACCAGGTCAAGAAATTACTCAAGGGGCTCAATTAATTGCAAAATAAGTTTTTTGCCACCTTGTTTCTAACACCAAAGATTTTACGTTGAATGCCAGAAAGTGAAATTTTAGTAATAGAAATAGGACTCACAAGGAGGAACAAATGATATTAAGGAACTCTAATTCCTCAGCTCCCTCCAAAATATTTTCCACTGTCCATCCCCTTCCATGCCTCACAAAAGTGGATGATCCTTCACAGTGTCTGTCAGTAGCCCCTAGGGTTGGAATGCACTGTGTGTCCGGAGATATTACTAAATGGCAAACTACAAGCTGCCATGCTCACTCTCTTGTTTGCTTTAAGGCCAAAGCAGAGAACAATGAGGATGGGCAGAGTCCCAGCTGTTGCTAAGAAACAGAAGTCCAGAAGAATTGACAACTTAAGAAGAAACCTGACCCACTAAGGTCTTCAGCATTAGCTAAATACAAAAGGAATCTCCCTAAAAGAAAATTGGCAGGCAATCCTCCACAGTGGAGCAGTTGCATGCCATAAAACCCGAAGTCTGCAGTTGACTCAGACCACAGGCTATCTCAACTCCTCAAGCACCTCCTGTTCACCAGTACAAAAGAATCTGCACCAGCGGTAAGTGGGTACCCTTGCCCCAAATGAAGAACCTTAGTGTCCCTTGTCAGAAGTGTCCCCGAAGGACTCTAAAAATGAATCCAAATTGGGTGCAGCCAAGTTTTCTACTAACTGAGTAGGATGCAGGTCAGTTAACTCATGCCTTATAAGATTTCAAGAGCCTACTATTTACTATCCCACTTCTGCTGGATGCAATATATACTTTAGTTGAGCTGGTTAAATCGATATTTAGTCCACAGACTGCAGAATTAATTCAAGTATTTCTTGGATGCTCTTTATATGCCTATCTTTGGGCTAGGTACATGGAAAACAGTGTAAAGATGGAAAAGGATTTTTCTCACTTGGAGTTGACATTCTAGTTTAAGGGAGGGGAAGAAAAGAGACAGATAATAAAGAAATAGAGTTACAAATTGGGATGGGTTCTGTAAAGAAAAGGTAGGGTAATGTCAGAGAGAGTAAAGAGAGATGCTTAAATGGAAAGAGCAGTAGGGTGGTTAGGGAAGGCTTCTTTGAGCTGGAACTGGAAGAATGAAGTGGAGCCTATTGTAAGAACCATGGGAAGAGCAGGAAGGAGAACAATTGCGAAGACTCTAAGGTAGGAAAGGGTTTCCTACTTGCAAAGAACTAAAGGAGGCAAGTATAAGTGAAACATTGTGACTGGGAAGTTGATAGTAGATTGAGGAGACAGTCAAGGAACCCCCTTTGCTCCGGAACCTTGTGGCCAATGGAAAGCATTTGGGGTTTAATTCCAAACACAAGAGAATGCCATTGAAACTTTTTAGACCAAAGAATAGCATAATCTGATTTACTTTCTACAAGATTGTTGGGAAATGGAATGGAATGGAAAATGGATAGTAATAGCAAGGGTGGAAGTGGCTTTCCACACTCTAGCTCTCCACTTGGAAAGCTATTAGTACACAATGGTTGTTAGGATTAGAAGAGTAGCTTTGGCGATGTAGAAAAGATGGAATCAAGATAAATTTGAGATGCAAAAGTAACATTTGAGTTGAGGTCCTCGTTTACCATACATTTGTATCTAAATATTTTGACAAATAGCAAATGGAATAACCGAAGAAGCAAAATATTGAGAAGAAGAGAAGATATAGGTGTCAAAAGTTAGAATTGCACATAATAGGAAAAATGACACTCAGTTTTAACAGAGGAGGCTGGGGAGTGAGTACAGATGCAGAGAGATTTGAATATTTGTTGGAATGAAAATGAAGTCAATCCTCTCTGATGGTTTCTGTACTCACAATGAATTGTAGAGTAGGATCTTCTGCTGAAAATGGCTAGAGTGAGGAGTTTGAGATCACAGGGGAAAAAAATGACATTTTTACCTCATAGAATGTAAAGATGAACCTCCTAGGGAAGCATAGTAGGATTGCCAGGTAGGCTTGAACACTCATTTGTGGTCTGTAGTGATGGATTTAAAGAGAAATCAGTCAGCTAATCATATTTCTTTATTAAGTTGCTTAGGTTTCTGCACAAAGAACCATAACTGAGTTCAAGCAGGTTTGGGATTTTGTTAAGCGAGTTCAACAGAGAGAGATGGGAGCCAAGGTGGTTGATTGTGCTTGAAAAGGAATGCTTATAATGATGAACCGTGAAATCCAAGCTGGGTACACATTGGAGTAAGTATAGATAATTAAAAAGTAGTGTGTGTGTGTGTGTGAGGGGGGACAATGCACTGGAGGTTTCTAGGAGGCTAAAGACATGGTCAAGCTTAAGTGAGCTGGATGGATAGGAGGTGGTGCACTGAATAGAATGTTCAGAATTGATATTTCACAGGTAGTGCAGATATCAGTGCTTACATGGGCCGGGGTTAGTCCAGAGTGTGAATTGAGGTTGCCTAATAGTCTCTGGAGGCGATGAATTTAAAAGAGTAAGTTTTTTCCAGTTCTGAGTATAGGGAGCTTGGAAGTCACCACTCTATCCTAACAGACTGAAAAATCAACAACTCTTCTTGGATCCATAAGAGAGGAGAGGACACAGGGCAAACTGCTGCCCCCAGGATTAGAGAGATAGACAGGCAAATATAGGGAGCAGCGCTTACCAGAGCAGAGACTCATGAGCAGAAACCTCCTCCGGAACCGGTGCCAAGGTGGGAAGGCCTGAACTGTAACTGACAAATAGCTAGAGGCTCAGAGGGGACAACTGTGATAGTTAAAACTTCAGGGGACCCAGTCACAGGGAGGTCCCCACTCCTGGAGGTGAGATTTACCTCCAGGAGCTCAACTAGGTTCCACAGTAAATATCTGAGAAAAATCCCCTTGTGCAGAAGCAGAGGGTAGAGGGGACCATTCTGAAATACCCCAGAGCACTCTGTTCTTCTAAACAAGGCCTGTCCTCAGGGGAAACTAGTTAACCAGAGCTTAACCTATTGGAGTATTATCAGAGCCTAACTGACCTAGGGAAAGGGAAATACCAAACTCCAGCCCATTCTAGTCATCCTGTCCCACCTAAGGGGGCAGAAAAAACTGAGAAAGACTGTGAAGTTCTCAGTCCAGAGGCGTAGGCTCACTACAAGACTGAGACCTAAGCACAGGACTATAGAAAGCTTCCCCTCCCCCACACCTCACTGCCACATCACTAAAGGCCTATTTACAGCAGGTCCTTTTACCCAGTGCATCATGTCCAGCTATCAAGAAAAATTACCAGGCATATCAAGAGGTAAAAAGACACAACTTGAAGAGGCAAAACAAGCACCAGAACCAGACATGGCAGGGAGGTTGGAATTATCAGACTGGGAATTTAAAACAACTATGATTAATATACTAAGGGCTCTAATGGATAAAATTGATAGCGTGCAAGAACAGATGGGCAACAAAAGCAGAGAGATGGAAATCCTAAGAAAGAATAAAAATAAATCCTAGAGATTAAAAAAAAAAAGAAAAAAAACCCGTAACAGAAAAGAATTAAGAGACTGTGCTGTTGGATGGGCCATCTGCATATATTTTGAAAGTCGCTGAGAATGACTACATATAGTGTTAGAAAGGGAAAATATTATAGTAACCGGGGAAGCTAAAGTTAGCAATAATAGGAGAATGACTATAAGTGGATGGCTATAGAGGACTGACCAGTAGTTGAGCTAATGAAATTAGCTTCAAAAGAGCTTATATTCTTGGGGACAAGGAGGAAAGTAGCCCCACACCCTGACCCTGAGATTGATAATATAGGAGCCAAGAAAGTCTTCACTTGGAAAGGATATAGTTGAATCATTGTTAGTTTGACAGCCTAGACTCAGTTAATGCTAAGAACATGAGTCAATTTCATAAGAGCACATTTTATTGAACAACCATATGTTGAACATCTGTGTATCATGCCATTTGTTTAGGTGTTTGAGATAGAGCAATCAACAAAAAAACAAAGTCCCTCCATTTTTTGGAACTTATATTCCTGTGAGGGGAGCCAGAAAATAAACACGTGTTGTATCTGGTAGTGGTAAGTGCTATGAAGAAAAAATATGTGTCTTGAGAAGGATAGAGGGTGATGGGGAAGGTGTTTTAAACCAGGTCACAGAGAGCTTCTCTGATAAGGTAATAGACATGTGAACCAAGACCTGGATAAGGTGAGAAGAGAGATTTGCAGATGTCTGGCAGGGGCAGGGGCAGGGGCACTCCACTAGAGGGAAGAACGAGGACAAAAGCCATAAGACCAGCAAGGAATCTAATGGGACTTCAGTAGATTGAACACTGGTGTTAGCAGCTTGCTTCAATTAATTATTTATTTTTTTATGCTAATGTTTGTATCAACACTAATTTGAGAAGGTAAGAATGCTCATTTAGCTAGAAGCTTCTCCGTCTCTTTTCCTATTTTAAACTCTCCATAGATCTTAATTTTTTAACGTGACATGTGAAGTATTTGGAGACTTGGTATAACAGTGATTATAATCACTTTTTTTTTAAGATTTTATTTTTTTAAAAAATTTTTCCTTCTTCTCCCCAAAGCCCCCCAGTACATAGTTGTATATTTCAGTTGTGGGTCCTTCTAGTTGTGACGTGTAGGACGCCGCCTCAGCATGGCTTGATGAGCCATGCTAGGTGCGTCCCCAGGATCCAAACCAGTGAAACCCTGGGCTGCCGAAGCGTAGCGTGTGAACTTAACCACTCAGCCACGGGGCCGGCCCCTATAAGCACTTTATTTTTAAAAAAATTAAAGCTCAATTTGATTTTATGGTTTCTTAATATTATTTGGTATTGTGGATCACATTTTTTCCCTCTGATTAGTTAATATCACTTTAGTTAGAAAAATGTAACTAAAAATTACATGAAACTGTTGTTTCATACATATCACGAACAAAACTTCCAGAGGAGATGGAAGGTGAGCCTAGATGATTCATCTGAAATAATTAGCCAAGACAAACAGACGTATTTGAAGGGAAGGGAAAATAAGTGCAAGTACTTTGTCTAAGTTTGATGTCCTATGGGTCTTCGTAGCTAAATTAACATCTCATTTTAAATGACAGTACATTAATAAATAAAGCTGATTAGACAGTTTTAAAACTGTTCAAACAAACTTCTTCTTAAAAAACCATGGGACAAAAAGTACAGTCTAGTGGAATTGCTACAAACAAGAGAGTGGCAATAGTATCCTACCTGCTTCTCATAATTCCATTTCTGCCCTATCCCCCCCACCCCAAATCCACTGTCAACATGGAACCAGATGGGGTCTTTCAAAACATAAAACAAATCATATTGCTCCACTGTTTAAGACCCTTTCAGAAAAATCCAACCTCCTTTCCATGGTCTTCCAAAAGCCTGCATGATCTCACTTCAGTTTAGCTCTCCAGTCTTACCCCCATCAGGCTCCCCCTACTCATTATGTTCCAGCCACTTGGCCTCCTTTCTATCCTCAAGCCTGCCAAATTCTTTTCCACTCACAGGCTTGCTTTGGTTGTTTCTAGGCCTGGAATGCTTTCTCAGCTCTTCTCATGCAGAATATTTGTCATCCTTAGGTCTCAAGCCAGATGTCACTTCCTGAGAGAGGCTCTCTAAACAACG